TATTTATTTATTTATTTATTTGCATTCTAAATGTTCATAGACGTTCATACCTTAACAGAGTGTAGTGTGTAGATCTGGTAGGTAGTGGAAATCTAAACAAGCTTCTCCTATGCCACTACACCATCCCTGACTGATGTGGAAAGTAAAGTACATATCATTATAGTGCCATGACATTGGCCATCTCATCACTTGAATGGATCTATATTTTGGTTTATTTATTTGCATTCTAAATGTTCATAGACGTTCATACCTTAACAGAGTGTAGTGTGTAGATCTGGTAGGTAGTGGAAATCTAAACAAGCTTCTCCTATGCCACTACACCATCCCTGACTGATGTGGAAAGTAAAGTACATATCATTATAGTGCCATGACATTGGCCATCTCATCACTTGAATGGATCTATATTTTGGACTATATTTTGGCTAAACTATCTCCCGATGGGAATCAGGAATTTGACAAACGATCCCCGATGTTTCTTTAATGGCATTCCATCTTTTTTGAATGGAACTTTCTCACTGCAAAGGAGGGAAAGTGTGTATGTGACAGTGAGTGTGCATGTGAATGGATGGATAGTAGTGAGAGAAAGTAGCAGAAATGCAAAAGAGGGTTTCCAGCTGGAGTTTACAGAGTGCAGTTTGGAAGGAGAGAACTATGCAGTCTCTAGGGGAATTTTCAGCTTGCTGAAGGAATCATGTATGTGATTTCACTAGGTTCTTTTTATATACTGTACTTGCAAGTAAAGCAATTGACACAAAGACAATGCTCATAACCAGTGCTAAAAGACCATTAGCAGGTCCACTACTAGCCATATTGGCTAAGAGTCAAGAATCAATATCTGAAAGGCCAAAGATTCCCAGCCTTGTCTTACAGGAAGACTGATGTGCAGAGTTTAAAATTGCCAATCTAACCTCCCACTGAACAGAGACTTCTGCCTATGGGCTTCTGGGTACTGAAATCCAAAAAGTAGCATGTCCAGTTTGCTCTGAGCAAATATCATTCAGTGCATTGGAAACACATTCTATGTATACCAAATGTAGGATTGCTTTGCTTTTGCTAATTGTGGTCTAGATTGACTGACTTACTACTAAGGCTTTTTATGTTTGCCTGCAGACGAAAGAGATTTGTCTGTCTGATTTCGAGGACTCTGTTAATCCCTTTGCTGAGGAGCTAATAGTTTGTCAGAAGATCTGTTTTCACTGTTTAGTTTTACAGAGTTTCCTTTGTTACTTATGCTTTACTATTTACCATCGTAAAACTTTGAACAGCTGTGTGATGCTTTTGATTGAATTTTGCTAAGTATATTTCAGTTGTAGTGCAAACACATAATTCCTACTCAGACGTAATTCCTAGTGAGTTCAGTGGAATGTACTCCCAATTAATTGTAAGACTCTACCCAGTATTACTAATGAGGTAGCTGTGCTTGCATAGCAGGCAAAAGAAAAATAAAAAATAAGGAAGACAAAAATGTTGTGGCATCGTAAAGACTAACTGCTATGTTTTAATGCAATTTTGGGGTACAAGTCTGAGAAAGTGGATTTCTCCATGACAGCTCACATTAAAATATAGCACTTAGCAGGAATAGGGACTTGAGTCACGGAACTCACTGTCAAGTCAGACTTAAGTTGCACCAGCAACTCAGCTCAGACTTGACTTGGGTTTTATTTTCAATAACTTGGATTCGAATTCACTAACCCCTCCTTTTCTTCTGGGGAAAAAAAGCTTGTTTTCAATAAGGACTTGGACTTGGGGTTCGTGACTCGTGACTTGGTATGAAAGATTTTGGCTCGAACTTGGGACTTGATACCAAAGACTCAGAATCACACTCGGGACTCTGACCCAAAGACTTGCCCACATCCCTGGCACTTGGTCTTTAAGGTGCCACAACTTTTTTGTCTCCTTTATTTTTTTTATTTTTGTTTTTGCCTGATATTACTAATGACTTTCTTTTAGATGCTGTACTGGAAGAAAGAGCACTCTTTAAATCTACACTGTATTAGTGAATCTCAAAACAGAGTGACCCAGTTTGGGTGTCACAGTTAGTAAAGCTTGTGGAGAAACCCTGGATTATGCTTCAGAAACAGTGATCATTTGCCCTGCTGTTAGGAACATCAAGCCTTCGATCTATGGTTTGTTTATTATGATAACATAACTCAGCAAGATCTTACATTCTAGCTTCTGGGGACAGAGACAAGATGGCGTTCCAGGTTCTTCCAGTTTCAGACATAATAATAAATGAATCATTAATGGAAATACCATGATTTATTTAGCTATTTCTGGCAACAATCAGCCACATGCACCAACATGCTGGCTCACTCACACAAGCCAGGATTCTTTAGGCTTATCAGGCATACTCTGATAAACCAATAAAATTTGCAGTCTGTTGATAGACCTTGCAGATTTGAAAATGTTGATCTGTGCTTCTTTGTACACCTTGCTCTCCTTGGAAACACCACACAAAGCTTGTCCACATGACTCCGTCTGGATGTATTATGAGCGGATACCTGCCAGTTGACCTCTCATTCTGATCTGGCAAAACGTTCAGCCAATAATGATCTGTATGCTTCCTCCCAGACAAACAGTTAGAGACTATAATGAAAATCCTCTGCTTGGCCTATATGTAGTGGAGAATTCCATGGGCCTTCAATGGCAAGAAGGAATAGGGGCAGACAAGGGAAGATATTACATCATCCATATGAGGGGAAATTCCTTTCTCTAGAAAGCCAAAAAATAGCAGAAAATCAGAGACTGGCCATGGTGCATGTGTGGTAGCAGTAGTCCAGATAATTGTTTTTGTGGAGAAAAATGCAACCATGAGGTCAAAGAGTTAATCAGAAAATGTGACCTGGAAATGCTTTCTCTGAAAATAGAGATGTCTGTATTGTTTCGATTGAAACACTTCTCTAACAAGCAGCATGTGTCCTGGAGCATGTAGAACAGGGCACACTTTCAAAGAAAGATAAACAGATTGAGAAATCGTCACTGCAAAATTTCTGGGTAAGATATAGTCCCACGTGCTAATCAGTGGCCACCTTTTTCAGGTGCCTTCTGAAGGGTGACTATCTCCCCCAGATGTAAACCATAGCAATTCTTCACAGCCATATGACAAATTTCCTCCTCTTGCAGCCAGCTGGAGCAACTATTTGAACATCCTGCAATGTATTTTCTGTCTCCAAATATTGTGGCAGGTTAAATTTTGGGTAAAAGTGGCAGTAGATGGCTCCTTGGCTGTTGCAATATGATTGGACTCAATTAACTCTTGGTGTCTTCCACCTTTTATGGGCCCAACACACAACATATCCTATCCTTGTAACAGGATCAGCAATGATTTTGAGTAGTGAGTGGAAGCCGGCACTGTGTCCTTCATGATTCCCTAGGTCAGGGGTGGTGAACCTTTTGCACGCCATATGTTTTTGGGCTTCAACTCTCAGGAAACCCAGCCTGTATTGCCAGTGATAAATGTCTCTGGGAGGTTGTAGTCAAAAATAACTGAAGTACCAAACATTTGCTGACTTGCCCCAGACAAAGAATGGGCAAACTGGATTCAGATGTTGTTGGACTGTCACTCCCATCCACCCCAACAAGCATAACAAGTAGTGACAAATACGGAAAGCTGAAGTCGGACAACGTCTAGTAGGCCAAACATTTCCCTAGATGAAGGCGCACTTTCATGATTCCTGGATAAAGATACTGAAATTGTCTTGAAGACACCAGTGTGTGAATGTGAATGAACTGCACTATGTCTGATTTTTATCTGGAAACTGCAAAGAATATTATAAATATATAGTGTCAGTGATGCTATTTGAGTGATATACTCATATATCACAGATTTATGTTTTTTCAGTGTCTTTCTGTATCATAGATGTATGTTTTTTGTTAATCTCTTCTAACAGGTAAATAAAATTGAAATTGTCCTAAAGAAGCCAGTCTTTCATAAAGCTGTTGTGGCCTTGGAAGACCACCTGGAGTGTCGATGTGAGGCAATATCACCCCGACTTGTCAGTCGGCCAAATTCGCGTGAACACAGAGGTAGGTGTTGTAGAACTGATGTTTCTGAGAACTGGGCAGGAACAAAGAGAAATGTGGAAAAATCAAAAGCAATATACAGTAGCTAGGAATAATTCTGAGAGGAGAAGCATGTTCAGTCAGCTGTTGCATTCCAACGTATTCTGCTTCCTCCTCTTCTGGCAGGTGGGACACCACTCAGCACTGTAGCTTCTCTTCCAACAAGGGCACGAGTGCACCGGTTACTGCCACGAAAGAGGAAGCATCGGAAGTTCAAGCATGTACATGATAAGAAAGCGCTGAAAGAAATCTTCCCAGCATAGAGGCACTGGCAGGCAAAAGTGCAAATGTCAGGTAATTGCATCAAATACAACTGTATTGTGAGGGCACACGAGCCAGTCTTTAAAAAACAAACAACTCCGTAATTTGCTTTCTACATTAGGATCCTTTAGTACTGCTGAAGCATTACTTCCCCAGAATCAACCAGAAGCAGAATTAAGATTATGGTTCCACACAGCAATTAACATAGCACTCCATTATTCAGTAGTACCTTTCTCCATGTTTCCAGTTACTATGTTTACTTGTAGACAAATCAGTAGGCTCTAGCAATGTTAACTGGAAGCTCCTCCTTGGAACGTCTGCTCTTGCTGATGCCTCCTTTTCTGTATGGCTCAATGAGTGGTGATAAATCGTTCTTATAGTGATCACTTGCTGATCCCCGTAATGAGTGAAACATTTATCACTGGTCTCTTTTAATTATTTTAATTTATTTTTTGTAATAGAGAAATTATAGGGGGGGGTGAGATTTAGAAGATTAAACCAGTAACTAACCCATCAGAAAACAGAAGCTAACCAACAAAGGAATTCTGCTAAAAAAAAAAAGCAGCAATAGGTGTGATATTTTTTGTAATAGAGAAATTATAGGGGGTGAGATTTAGGAGATTAAACCAGTAACTAACCCATCAGAAAACAAAAGCTAACCAACAAAGGAATTCTGCTGAAAAAAAAAGCAGCAATAGGTGTGAATGCTGTAGAGAGGATGCTTTTAATTAAAGGCACAGTAGCTTATAAAAATGCATTGCATTTCTCTACTGGTCACATTGACACTTCCTTTGCATTTCATAGTAAAAAGAGACATAGAGGAGCAGATCACAAATCAGGACTGTAAAAGACAAGGGACAATCAAGAAACACTGAAATGCCAAAACTGAATTAAAGTGCCTGAATTTTAAAGGATGCTATGGCTCTCAGGGGCTACTAGTTAGGATGCTATGTGCCATCAAGTTGCTTCTGGCTTATAATGACTGTGTATCATTTGCTGATGAAGAAAAGTGGGAGGGAACCATTGCGCTCAGGTATTTAAGATGTCAGAGAACAAAGCTTGCAGTTCCAGAGAAACGGGCAAGTGTGGAAACAATCCTGAAATATACCACCAAAGTGACTTATCCCATGAATAAGACAGTATGATGTCGCATAGGAGGTCCTATTCCTGCATCCACACCACAGTCATGTTAACATAGTGAAGGCCAGTTGGCTCCTGTTTGGCTTCTTTTGCCATGAAGATCTTAGGCAGGCATACAGTGTGTTGGTCATTCAGCACATAACATTCTTTCCACCTGTGCTCAGGTAGCTGTACAATCTGTTTAGAGGAAGAAGAAGAATTTTTTGTTATTTGGCAACTTGAGAAAGATTATATCCTCCAGTCTGTGTAGTTTAGAGTAATTAAAATTACTGTTCTCTTGTAACCTGGAAATCAAATTTAATTTACCATCCATCTTAGGAAACCAAAGAATGAGAGGAAGAGGTAAGGAATAAATACTTCCTCCAATAGGATTTGTCTGCCAAGTTATGCTGTATAGCACAGATCCTTGATTAGACTTAACAACCCATCATCTGCCCAGGAAGGCAGGCATAATAAATGTGAACATATAGTTTTGTTGATTGGAAAGACCCATCCAAAAGGAAGGAGCAAGTTACTAGTCTCTGAGGCTGACAGCTTACTTCCTAGTTTGAGATGGGACAGGCTGAAGAAAGGAAAATCTCTGCATGTAGCCAAATAGCTTTGCTAGGATTGAACACAGCAAGATAACAGCATGTCCATTTTTGTTTAGTTCTCTTACCAACATACTCTATTGCTGCTCACTATTCATGTTCCTCTTTCTTTAGCCGCACTAGTTTCCCTTTCAGAAACAAAAAGAAAATCCAAATTCTGTAGAAATAAAAGACATAATTTATAGAGCAAAGCCTGCAAACAAGAAAATTAGTAAATCTGTAGCCCTCTCACCACCAGCCATGTTAGCCATCTGGAGGGCACCATATTGGGAAAAGATGTTATAGAAAATGGTCAACATGAAATTGATAAAGAAGGGCAAGATGGAATCTCAACCTGCCTTTTCTGTTTGCTTGCTTTCCAGGTTTATTATTTAATATATTTGCTGTATTACCCCCATGGGGTTCTAAGAGTTTCTCTCCGTCCATCTGCCTCAGCGCTACATTGGACGGCAAATGGTGCTTCCTGATCCCTCGCTCACTGGACGTTCTCCCACCAAAGTTTACCCTTGGAGTTCTTACTTCTTAATTACATTTCAGCCTTTTATGAAAGGAAGAACACTGGGGTAGGGATTAAGCAGCAGAAAACGAGGCAATCTGAGTGGACAATATGCTTCCTGCTGCAGCCAACACAATGGAAATGTGGCAAGAGACTTGTGGTCCTAATTTGGGGGGGGGGCAACAGTGGGATGGGAGGATAAGAAAATTACTCCTTCCTCCTTTTCATCCAGGAGTTACTTGGGCTCAGGATGTTTACAGTGACAATGGGCACAAGTCAAAGACCGTCAGAGTGATGATAACCAATGACAGCAAATGCACTAAGGACTTCTATTGTCATGTCTGGATAGATTATTTTTAATGTGTGTATGTATATTTTATTTTTAAAACCACTAAACCATGCCACGCCTCAAGGAACAGAACAATTGAGAGTAAAATACATCTACCCAACAGTTACCGCTGCCAGCTGAATGATACATGAACAGGAAGGGAGCGATTTTACTGCAGAGGAACCACTGCCTAGGGATTCCCTTTGGGTCAAAGAGGCCCTTGTTACACATGACTCTAAGGAAGGCATGGATTGTCCTGTTTCCTATCTCCTCTTTCAGTTTGAGGAATTTGTTGTTCCTTTTGTATGTTGGTGGTGTAGATAACTTTCAGGTATTGTTAATGGATTTACTTTAAGTAAAATGAAGAGTGTCACCACTGGATGAATTGGGACCCCTGGCGAACCTGATCCACCAGAGTCACTGCTCCTGCAACATCTAGAACGAGTCTTTGCTTTTTAGGAGGCAGAGCCATATCCACACTACAGCTTGTTCTTTTAACAAACATGGGGGCTCTTATCCATGAAACCGACATCACTTCTATATGGGATTTCAGGTACCAGTGTGGAGAGAGAGATTTGCTTGGGACCATATACTGCAATGGCTAAACAAGGAGAACAGAAGCAGGTTCAATGGATTGTTGATATGATTCAGTTATATATGTGATATCAACTTGCCCTGTATCAAAGGTGTCTTTTGTGTGTGATCTTATTTCCAGACATCGTTATTACTTATCCTCCTCTGCTATAGAGATTAATATCCAGATTTTAATTTATGTTAACGACCATGTTAACATTCTTTGATATGATGGAAATTAAATTATGCAAGGCTCCACATCACAACCATAAGAGGTTCTGCTGTGATGTCTAAGGCATCACATAGGCAAATCCCAAAATAACAAATGGTGCTGCATATCTTTGTATGTTCCCCTGTACTTCCACCTAAACCATCCAGCTCACATTCATCACTTGCTCTTTTAATCTCCTGTCTCTCCCATGTTCTCCCACATTTTGCTTCTACATCCTCAGAGCGTTTATCTCTTTAAAACAGGCGGGCAAAGTGTGGCCTTCCAAGTGGTGTTAGACTGCAACTCCCAAAGTTCCTCATCACTAGCTTTGCTGGTTAGTGTTGGTGGGATTTGCAACCCAACAATATCTGGACAACCACACATTGCCCAATCCACCTCATAGTATTTCAGATGACCAGATAAAGAGATCCACTAAAGGTTTTGTCTCACTGGGTAGTGTGGGGCAGTTGCCTGTTCTAGCAAGGAAAAAGTCAGTTGCCTGCATGTCATGAATAGGTTTGAGGGGGATAGAATGATAGAAGTGTGTTGAGGTTTCATAACTTTTACTTTTCATCTACATCTTTAGCTCTTATTGTCCATTACATTCTCTTATTTCAAAAGACAAAAGGCCAGCAATTACACTGGCTCTCTCTACAGATAGGATGCATGGTAAATATCATGGTGGCAATGCTAGATGAGGCTGGTATGGCCTACAGTCCAGCACATCTGGATTGGGCAGAGCTGGCTAAGATTTTGGAGGGTAAACCCCTTCTTTCCTTCTGCTTGCCCCAGCTGTTTCTTCAGTCCCCCTCATGTAGTTTTTAAAAGGCACCATGAATAGACCTTAACATCTGGAAAGTTTTCTAGTTACATCTCAGGTAGACCAGGTGACCAGATGTGGAATATGACCCACCAGCAACATATGTGTGTTTGTTAGAAGGAAACAGAAGCACAACACAATCCTACTGTAGAGATAAGAAGCTGAGTTTGGGAAGAGGAAATGACTAAGTCAAGCTATCAACTGAAATACAGATTGTTAAATAACACCCTAAGTTTAAACAGAGCTTTCAAATATTACTTAATTTTTTTAACTACAACTCTCCAAAACCTCCAGTGTCCATGTTGGTTGAGGAATTCTGGGAATTGTAGTTCAAACCCTTTCCCTGACATTTTCAAGTTCGGTATTTAAAACTGCCCTTCAACCAGTTCAGACAGAAGATCCAAGCTTTCATTCTCCTGCTGCATAGTGAGTTCAAGCCTTTCGCTCCATGCACTTATACCAGACAAAGAAAAGCAGCTGCAGCCATAAGAAAGAAGATGCGCTTTCTACAGCCTCTTGGAACAACAAGCCTCTGGAGCAGAAGAAGAATCAGGTCATTTGTCCTGCAAAACATTTCCCAGTTGTGGCTGCTTTTCCTTACTCCACACAAGTATTTGTAGGGATCAGACAGAAACTTGGAGGCAGGCCCACAATTTATTTTCATCCCTGAGATCCCATTGTCTGAAGATGGTGGGAGGCCATTTTTTTCCCTTGGAGCTTTGAAACCTTACATCTTTTTGACTACGACTCTCAAAATGCCCCAGCCCTCAAGCTGTAGTCTTGAGTTGAATAGCTTTTTGTATTACCTACTATTGGATGTTGAATCAGCTCAATAGAAAACCCTGAAATGTATCACCATAAGTCAGAACTCGCTTGTCAGCACACAATTATTATTATTATTATTGAAGAAATCCATTGGCCACAAACACCCGAGAGAGCTTTACTTATGTGGTATCCTACAAACTCCTTATGTCTGCTGGTATGATCAGACTTTAGTGGGAAATAAACCTTACAGTAACTGCTTTAGGTTCTGACTACTGTTACATATTGTTGACTAGTTACAAGATTTTAAGAAAAACTGATGGAAACTGATTATTCCTGTCTACCCAACTTATACTGAAAGCTTTCTTTCTGAGAGATGAAAAAGATTCTTGCTATCCATTCCTGCTTTTTTGTCTATAAAAAGATGGTTTGTTTTCCTACAATTTTCCCATCTGTAAGGAGGGCAAGGCCTTTCTCTTCCCTACCCATTTTATATTAAATTAATTTATACTCAGTACTGTATTTAAAGTTGTTTTTTTTAAAAAACCCTAAAATCAAAACTTGGAAGTTTTGTGTTTTATTTGTGTTCAGCTTCTAAAAAGGCTAAACGGAAGACAGAATTGCTCCCCCTCCCCGAAAAGGTGAAATCTATAGCCTAGAAAGTGTACAATCATCTTCAAATGTCATCCTTTTCTCTATTTCTTACCACCCACTTCACCCTACATTCCAATATTCATAGAGTGTTGCCAATGACACTCTTCTGAAAATCTACATAATACAGACAGTATTGTGCTTGCCAAAAGATATACATAGCAATCTCATTTATGATTAAAGTGTATCTACTTACACTACATAGTTGTAGTAGTTTGATACTACTTTAAATGTTAGGATTCCATATGAACGAATCCTGGGATTTGTAGTTCTGTGAACTCCCTAGATTTCTCTGCAAGAAGGCTCTAGTGCTTTCCTCTGACCTAGCCAAGAATTCTAAATCCTTTCCGAAACTACCAATGTAAACACAGTCAATAGAATGGAATCAAATGGCTATAACTGTGTAGTGGAGATGCATTCCATAAACATTATTAGTGATTGTAAGTAAAGTGCATACAAAGTATGCTCAGGGCACAGCTGGACCTCTCAACACATTTCATATGAAACTAAGTACTGTACCACTTAAAACAGGCACTTTGTGCAGCCAAATGTAGACGTGTTTGCCTCAAGACAGGATGATTCACTTTGCTTGTAAATAGGATGAGTCACTCTTTGCTACGTGCCCCCAAAAGTTATCAAGGGCAAAAAAACCCTGATCTACCAGTGTGACATGATGGGTGGAATGGCAGTCTGTCCATTTATTTGATCGGTTGGCATCTTATTAAAGCTATCACTGCTAGAGGGGGGCACCTTAAACCTGTTAGTAACATACAAGAGAGAAGTTATGGACTTACAAGGAGGCATGGTTTCCCAGTCTCAGTGCCAAATCCATGCAGCAAAAGTTATAATAATGACTCTCATAGTTTGTAGAGATCATATAATATTAATAAGGATTGTAAGGCCATAATTGGTGTTATTGGTGACAGAAGAAATTTGATTACGTGAGGTACCTGCTGTAATGTCAATTGAGAACATGCATTTATGTCCGCTCACAGTAAATTATTCCACCTTGTATAAGCAACGTCCAGAAGATAGGATGGTGAACACACTGACTCAATTGTAATATATTATTGCAGCCTACACCACCTTAAAAATAAACAAAACTCTCCATCTCAAAGGAGTATTTATTAACAGCTGTTAAGGAAGCTGAACCCTGCTGCTAACAATCCCTGGAAGAGTTTGAAAGCCACTGATCTAGACTTAAATTACTACGTCTTAAATGACAAATGTCTACCATGAAATCCTTGCTCAGTGCAGAAGATTTTGGTGGGTAGTCTAGGAGACAAATTCCATTCATTAGAGCACTTGCCAGCCTTCTTGTATGTTGTTATCCTTTCTCATGAATACTGTAAAATGCACCCATCCTTTACAGCTAGCTGTTCATCAGAGAGCAAGCTCAAATGTACAGTCAGTAAGGTAGCCTGAAATACAGTACGTTGCTGTCCAAGCTGAAGAACAAAATAATGTCTGCTTCTTGTTGTATACACAAAAGTCAACTCAGCAAGCTATGGAATATGAAGACAGCAGGCTAGCTTAGGAGTGCCATGTGACACAAACCTCTCTAACACTTTGGCGTTGCTTTCCAACATCTGTCAACCATGGTGGCTGCCTCCCTTGAGTTAGCTCTGCATGTCAAAGAGGAAGAGCAGCAAAAGATCAGCAAGCTGAATTTCAGGGGAAATTTGTCTCCTGTTATTAAACTCCTTGCTGGAACTCTTTTTAAAAATTGCGAAGAACTAAACTGTTCCATTTAAAATCTTTAAAAACTGACAGCTCTAGACTTAACATGGCTCTAACCTTCAACATTTGTTTGCCTGATACAACTTTGCCCTCGGCATGGAGTTCCCGGCAGTCACATTTGTTCTTCCATTCTTACTTTTAAGGTGCATTTGAATTGTTCTTGAACATTCCTCTCCACTGTTGCTATTTACCCTCTTCAAAGCCCTGCCATGAACCATATCCCTCCATTAGTCACTGTCTAGACAGATGCAGCTCCTCTGAGTTCAGAAGGGCATTTGCTGCTTCCCCTTCCTATGAGTAAGGGGAGTGGTTGTACATACAGACACCTGTGTGCCAGCCAATGCCACAACTGAGTTAGCACATAGATGGATGTAAAGAAAAGTATTGCTTTGGTAACTTCACTTTGTTTATCTTTTTTAATATGTTGTACCACAAGAAGGTAGCCAACTTCCCCCTCCATGGTTTTGCCTGCAGTGGATCATGCATTGCTGAGATTTTTTAAATGTGCAGGACTGATGTCAGTTTCTAGAGTATCATAGCACAAAGTTGGCTTCTTTTTCTGTCTGCTGCAAATAAGGGGTATATTCATACACAGTGACATATGACACCATCCCATATTAAATTAGAGCACTGGTTTATGTAGCTTACTATTGCCTACATCAAGCATTTTTGTTGTTTAGTCGTTTAGTCGTGTCCAACTCTTCGTGACCCCATGGACCAGAGCACGCCAGGCCCTCCTGTCTTCCACTGCCTCTCTTTCAGCCTGAAGGCCAAAGTTGATTCCATAATAGTTTTGGATGGGCAAAGGCAAAAATAGCTGACAGAGGGGGGAAAACCCCCAATTCACTGGAAAGGTCTTGGAGGGAAACTTTATGGTGACCAAGCCTGAACTCTGACTAAACTGGGGCTGTCATACTTTGGACACATCATGAGAAGACAAGGCTCACAGGAAAAGACAATAGGCAACAGAAAAAGAGGAAGACCAACTAAGAGATGGACTGGCAAAGTCAAGGAAGGGCACTGCCTTAAAGTTGCAAGAGTAGAGCTATTAAAAACAGGACCTTTTGGAGGTCACTAGTTCCTAGGATCACCATAAGTCAGAAGCAACTTGATGGCACTTAAAGCAACATCAAAGGGAAAAGTGTGGACTGGAAATGGCAGACTATTTCATCTTCAAGCTCTTCCTGCCAAAAACTAAGCCTTAGAAAGCTCTGTAGATGGGAGGTAACCAGCCATTAACAATGGTATTATATAGAAGAGCCTCTGGGCAACCTGAGAAAGTTGCCTCTAGGCAACCTGGGAAAACAAGATTGCGAGTCCTGGATGGATATATTTGGTGCCAGCACCCGGCCTATACTGATTAGTAGCAGGACTTTATGTTGCCAGCCCTCTTTGGATGTGTGGACGATGAAGGTAGCATACGTAGGCAAGAGCTGCTACCCTCCATTCAGTAATCATGTTCATCTTTCCATCACTGCAACATCATGGGTTCTTCCAGAAGGAGGATGCTTCCCACCATCAAAAGGTATTTTGTAACTATTCCATCTGTTCTGTCATAACATACATGTTTCTGTTAAGATGAAAGATGGAAGGATCAATGGTAAAGCATGGAAAGACTGCTAACAAGACACAATGGCATCTGGAATAGTCTCTCTCACACACAACAATTTGAGGAAAGAGACAGGACGATTGCAGAATAAAGACTTGCCTGGAAGCACCTTGGATTCTGATTTACCTGTGAGAAACCAGCAGGGCTTGGGAACGTTGCCTTTTTTGGACTACAGTACTGGCTGGAAAATTCTCAGATTTGTGGTCCAAAACAATAACAACTTTTCTAGGCTCCAAAAACAACCACTGGAAATGCAGACCTTTGGGCAGAATCTTTGTTGACTTGGATACAGATTAGGGTTGATAGGCTGTTGCCTAAATGCAAGACAGAGAGGAAATTGCATCCACACCTCCTACTCTCTAGGAAGCTCCCCATCATATACGTACCTGTTCTCACTCTGATTGTGAGATCAGCCACAGAAGTCGTCATGCAAAAGAGAGTCAATGAGGCTTTAGGTAAGTTATGACTAACTTTCCCATAGAATTCAATGGAACCTAAGTTCATAGACTGCAGTGGAAACCAAGTTCGCTGAATCTGTCTGGATCTGGCTGAATATATTTTCCTCCCACATGGGTAGTTCATAGAGTTCACAGATGAGTTGCTGAATAACAAGTGATGAATGCATTTCTAAATCAGCCCTAGCCTGGTTTGCTTTTTCCAGACTGAAACAATTGTTCACTTAAAATTCATGGCTGAAGAGGAGTTTAGTATAGAGGGTGGTGCTAATATAGGGTGAGGTAAGGAAGGATACAGAAAAAATATTAACAATTTGTCCCTTTTGCAGACCTTTTCAGCAGTGTCTTACACGGGATTGAATATAAACATTCTTGCCTACTCTCCTTGAGCCATTCCTTAAGTGGTACATATAATAATACGATCCATGCAAGAAAAAAATGTGTGTCATATAAGCTAAATTTATTTATTCATTCATTTATTCATTCATACATACATACATACATACCCCACCTTTCTCCTTAAAAGGGACCCAAGGTGACTTGCATCACTAAAAGACAAACAATATTAAAGCTAAAAACAGTAAGTATACAAATACAGTGGTGCCTCGCTTAACGATTTTAATTGGTTCCAAAAAAAC